TCTTTCGAAAGTGTCTACGACTAACTCTAACTATGCTGTTCCAAATGACCCAAATATCGTTGCGGGCTTTCTTCAGCTCAATGAAGGTAGCGGAAGAAGCCTTGCTTGGAGAGCAACACTGCAAGACTACAGGACTTACATCTGCCCCGTCACTCGGTGCTGAAGGCAAGTTGCATAGAAAATTTGCGGACTCTAAATCCATCACTGAAGAGGGTGAGTGAAGTGGAAGGCCGTAGAACTCTAGCAAAACCTTCGATCGCTTCCAAAAATGAGAAGGGGACTTGCATTCGGCATTTACAGTTGGTTCAATGCACGAGGAAATTTGCTAATTCTTTTTCTCTGAGACATTAGGACTATTAGCGGAAGGCAAAACATAAATGATGCAGAAATCAGAAATTCATGGAAGATTTTAGAAGTTGATTTGTTTAGGAGTATCCTGACTATAAATATAAGCCACGTAAAAAGCCGAAGAAGAATCCAGATGGTACGATTCAAAATCCGCCACCAGGCAATGGACCTGGCTCGCCAAGGAGTAAAGGGCTCAAGAGGTAAGTTCATTCTGTACTAGCTCTCACGGAGTGGCGACGCAGTACAGATTTTCTGCCGAGTCTTTTAGCCTTTAACTGCTGCCCGTCATCTACTGAAAACACTTTTAGGCCACTGCAACACCTGGGCAGTATCGGCATGGCGATCTCCGACCAACAATATCCTCTTGGAAAATCCGTGAAGATCGATCACGACAGTGCTCGGGTGAATTCGAACATGATGTCGTACATGACGATGGTACAAGAAGAGATGAAAGGATCGCCACATGTAAAGCAGGTAAGTGGAGTCTGGAATGACTATCAGTTTATTGCTTGAGACGAATGCCGTGGAAATGCACACTTAGAATGGTAGTCCGCTAACAGGTCCAGCTATCTACACCCACGGGATTCCATAACTCCCAGAAGGGAGCTTCCTGACGTTATCACGTATACCTCACCACTGGTGGTCGTTCTTGAAACGCTCCTCAATCGATGTAGTGACCATTCATCCTGAAGGGTGACTTCGAAGAAGGGTGAATTGATCGCCGGGACGACCATAAGAGCTGGCTTCATCCAGTTTCTCTCTTTTGCGCAACGGCGATGATCTTATCGACTCGACTCGAGAAGTGCATTGATCGTAGCGGGGGGAACAGCGCGTTATCGAACGAAGGAAACCCTTAGACGGTCGAGAAATGCCCACAGGGGGATCTCAGGCTGTGCTCTGAACACCTTTACCAAAATAGAGCGTGGCTAGTCTTTATCTTGACAAAGCTGGGTATTCCCGAACGGATAACGGGGGAGTCAGAGATTTTCGCCTGTCTTCTACTTTTGCCCGTCTGACTCAAGGGAAACACTCCATGAGGGAGCGATTTGAGCCTGGGTAGTTGACCCATTTTTCTTGAAGACAAACTGTAAACTTCAACTTTGAGAACGACCATTCCCATGTCGAGGTGAATGGGTCTACAGCAGCAGTAACATGGCACTTCCTTCGCTCAGAAGCACACGGGAGCGGGGCTCTAGGGTGGGTAAATGTGGTGGGTGCCGTCTCCATGTTCCACCCACGCTTCCTCAATGTGCAGCGTTCGCGTCGTTACCAAGGTCCCGCAGCGAAATACACACCCAGCGGTGCAGAGCAGTTAGAGGTGAAACGGCTAGTGCGTTCCCGTGTCCATGCACTTTTACCTGAGAAAGTAGCACGCTACTGCAGCTGCGGACCCATTCATCTCACACCTAGCAAGGGCCAGGATCCACGGAGGTGAGTGTGCAATTTGCCGTCGAGACGCTGCGATATAAAATTACTCGTTAGTCTGGTAGAGGGTGATATTTTGGTGTTTGGCACAGTAGGACTTTTGAAACCGCAACAACCTATCCTGCTTCTTCTGCACAGAGTATTAAGTTCAGCCTCTCGGGCAACCGCTTCCACCAAAATGCCTAGATATATCATACTAGCGCCTAAGAATGCTCAGAAGCAGGACTGTTCCATCTTTTGTAACTTCAGGGCGCTTATGAACTGATTGGACCTTTTCAGGAGCCGCGATTGTTTCATCCATCGTTTCCATCTCCGTCGGAATTCGGTCAGGCTCCACTGACACCTGAGTCGGGCTTCTACGACGAATACTACACACCCGGTGGTGCCTATTCAAACCAAGCCGCCTCCAGTCCTCCGAATCATCTCCTCATGCCCATGCATAGATTGGTAAGCAGAATTGATTGAATCGATTTTTTGCGCGGACCACAACGATTTTATTAAGCCGACAATTGAATCCGGAATGATGACGCAGTTCAACGGCCAACCGGCTCCACCGCAGCAACAACAGCAGCAACAACCACAGCAACCATTTTTCGTTCGAACCTCACCACATGCACATGCACAGCAGGAGCAGGTAGGTTCCAGTTCATAAAGACGATTACAAAAATTGATAGCAGTATTTCTACGTGTCACATGTCCAGCCCATTTTTCCATTAACCAATAGCTACTACAAATTTGTGACCTCTTCTGGAATAGTCCCAGACGCTCCAACCATTTTGAGATATTGAAA